CCATTAAGCCTGTGTGGGACTGTTGGTGGTCAGTCTGTGTGTATAAGAATCAGATGTGACTGCCAGTCCATATCAGGGTCGGTGCTGGTCTAAAGATAGGTCAGCCTTGTTATCTTTAGAAACACTGCTATATTGTTTTTGCGGGAAAAAACCCAGATGCCATGAGATTGGACCTTTTCAACCTGCTTCCGCACCCCATTCAGACAAATATTGTTAGCTTTTTTTACAGCAGTGTCATGCTGATTTGTGGATCAGTGACATTGTTATAAATAAGTCATGAGGAACCAATTAAAAATGGAATGTACTTGTGGATCTTCCCATCCCAGACTGGGATGTGGTGTTTGTTACAGGCGGCTCCATAAGCGTATTCAATAAGAAAAAGCATTGTTTGTCATTTTCAGAGTTTTTTCTTTAAAAATAGATGGCTGCTCTATCATTTGACAAACAACACGGCATGAATAGCATACCATCAAGTCAACAGACACGCATTTTTTGAGTCAAAAGCTCAACATTAGCATTAATATGAACTGTATGACATTTAAAATGAATGATACCTTGTGAAAACGCGAACTGGTTCCTCAAAGGGACAGTTCACCCAAAATGAAAATTCTGCCCTCATATCATTCCAAACCTGCATGACTTTCTTTCTTCTGTGAAACACAAAAGAACACTGTGGAACACTTTTAAAGAACATTGGGGTCCAAAAATATTGGACCCCATCGCCATTCTTCAAAATATCTTTTTTTGTGCTCTACAGAAAACAGAAAGTCATGCAGGTTTGGAACAACTTGAGGGTGAGTAAATGATGACAGAATTTAAATTTTTGGGCAAACTATCCTTTTAAGTAGATTTTAAGGGAATACTTGACTTAGTTTGGATGCATACCATGATAAAGTGTTCATTTGATATTAAATCGCTGTCTCTACAGTTTCCCGTTGCTTGGCAGGACTGAAGATGTTTAAGTGGCTCCATTCAATAGCTGTTAATAGGGGCATCATTTCCTCATTTCATATCAGTAGCACGGCGCCGAGAGCCTCCTGCAGCAGCGCGCAGTCAGAGTGTTAATACTCCACAGCTGCAGCGCATGTGTTCCCCTTAAGATGACTCTCCCTCCCTCAGACCTCCGCTAACACCTACCTGAGTGCTTTTTAAAAGCACTCCTTCGAAACAGTAGTCTGAGTGGAGCCATTTGAGGTGACATCCACTGTACATAATATATACTGCAAGCGTTGTGGTGCATATCTTAAAAAGGAAACCCGTGAACAGACAGTCTTGAGCGTAACTGGCTTAATTATGCAAACAATTCAAAACCGAAAATGACCGAAAAAGTACTTTTTATCCATTTGAACTCCATAGTGGAGGCGTGGATTTAGATAAAGTCCCACTTTACAATATCATTAATTAATGCATTGTTTATTCCTGTGATGACAAAGCTGAATTTTCAGCAGCCATTGCTCCAGTCTTGAATAAAATGATTAATAACTGGGAATCACCAAACTAAAGGTATTCAAAATGGATGTCAGATCATTGAATTACTTTATAAATAGACTAAAAATCAATTGCTTTTGTGTTAGATAAAAACAGCATCCACCCAAAACTGGTGTTAACAAAAAGCCTCACTGTAGTCGCATGTATTGTTGAACCAGGATGTAAAAGTGATATCACAGTCCCTGATCACTACATCATTCACTGGATGACCGCAGCACAATACATATTCATTGCATAATCAAGTGCTATCTTGCTTTTACATATAATACTGTCTTGCACTGCTTTGTCTCGTACAATACAAAGCTATCACCTATCTGCCCCCTAATAATGAAACCTCAGGTAGAATCGTCAGGAGACAGGTTGACACAAGGGTCAGAAGACAGGAAATAAATAGTTAATAACATCTCTCAGAGTAAACCTCAAGGAACTTTAAGACCTGCTGTAATCCAACTATTAAGCAGTTTCAGGAAGCTGCTCAGAGAAGCACCAAGCCAAGCTAACCACACCAGATCAGCAAAACTCCCCGAGATTCAGATCGAATGTCCATATAAGTGAAGAGCTGCTATGACTAACCTGAATTCCTCCAGTGTGTCAGTCTCACTCGTATCCCATATCTTCAGACAGTTTAGAGAACGTTGTGAGTGCATCACAACAGATATAACCATCTATCCTTCCCAGAAGACCAGAACTGGCACTGGAATGTCGGTAAAGGGATAGTTCACTCAAAAATCATCATGTTCTCATGCGATTCCAAACCTGTTTGACTTATTTTCTTCTGTGGACCCCAAAAGAAGATATTTTTAAAAATGTCCCAGTAATGTTTTTTTTTATTATACAATTAAATCCAATGGGGTCCAATGTTGTTAGCACACCAAATGTTCTTCAAAATATCTCATTTTGTGTTTCACAGATAAAAGAATGTCTTGCAGGTTTGTAACGAATTGAGGGTAAATGACTGAATTTTCATTTTTGGGTGAACTCCCTTTCACGAATGCTTTTTCACTTTTCAAAAAACTTTTGTTGATCTCTCTGTTTCGCTAAGATACTTTCAAAGAAATCCCGACCATTCCACACACCAAGAGAGCAGCCCAGAGTAATTACTGGGCCCCATATTTTGATGAATGGAGCAATTATGGCCAGCTAACAGCCCTGTGGGTTTTGAATGGGTTCGAACCACCCTACCCCTCTACCCCCTCTCCCTGGAGCATCATTAACACCCCTGCAATCACATAAAGGCTTTGAGGGGCCTTTTTTAATCTTAGGTTCATTCAAAAGGTCTATTTATAGCATCAAGGCATAATGCTCATTTATGTAAGCAAACGGGCGCAATAGACAGCATCGTCAAGCGTTTGCTGGCTCCTTCCTGCGCTCAATAATGATAGCTGCAATTAACAAGCCGCGAAAATCGTCCCATTAAGCCTGTGTGGGACTGTTGGTGGTCAGTCTGTGTGTATAAGAATCAGATGTGACTGCCAGTCCATATCAGGGTCGGTGCTGGTCTAAAGATAGGTCAGCCTTGTTATCTTTAGAAACACTGCTATATTGTTTTTGCGGGAAAAAACCCAGATGCCATGAGATTGGACCTTTTCAACCTGCTTCCGCACCCCATTCAGACAAATATTGTTAGCTTTTTTTACAGCAGTGTCATGCTGATTTGTGGATCAGTGACATTGTTATAAATAAGTCATGAGGAACCAATTAAAAATGGAATGTACTTGTGGATCTTCCCATCCCAGACTGGGATGTGGTGTTTGTTACAGGCGGCTCCATAAGCGTATTCAATAAGAAAAAGCATTGTTTGTCATTTTCAGAGTTTTTTCTTTAAAAATAGATGGCTGCTCTATCATTTGACAAACAACACGGCATGAATAGCATACCATCAAGTCAACAGACACGCATTTTTTGAGTCAAAAGCTCAACATTAGCATTAATATGAACTGTATGACATTTAAAATGAATGATACCTTGTGAAAACGCGAACTGGTTCCTCAAAGGGACAGTTCACCCAAAATGAAAATTCTGCCCTCATATCATTCCAAACCTGCATGACTTTCTTTCTTCTGTGAAACACAAAAGAACACTGTGGAACACTTTTAAAGAACATTGGGGTCCAAAAATATTGGACCCCATCGCCATTCTTCAAAATATCTTTTTTTGTGCTCTACAGAAAACAGAAAGTCATGCAGGTTTGGAACAACTTGAGGGTGAGTAAATGATGACAGAATTTAAATTTTTGGGCAAACTATCCTTTTAAGTAGATTTTAAGGGAATACTTGACTTAGTTTGGATGCATACCATGATAAAGTGTTCATTTGATATTAAATCGCTGTCTCTACAGTTTCCCGTTGCTTGGCAGGACTGAAGATGTTTAAGTGGCTCCATTCAATAGCTGTTAATAGGGGCATCATTTCCTCATTTCATATCAGTAGCACGGCGCCGAGAGCCTCCTGCAGCAGCGCGCAGTCAGAGTGTTAATACTCCACAGCTGCAGCGCATGTGTTCCCCTTAAGATGACTCTCCCTCCCTCAGACCTCCGCTAACACCTACCTGAGTGCTTTTTAAAAGCACTCCTTCGAAACAGTAGTCTGAGTGGAGCCATTTGAGGTGACATCCACTGTACATAATATATACTGCAAGCGTTGTGGTGCATATCTTAAAAAGGAAACCCGTGAACAGACAGTCTTGAGCGTAACTGGCTTAATTATGCAAACAATTCAAAACCGAAAATGACCGAAAAAGTACTTTTTATCCATTTGAATTCATAGTGGAGGCATGGATTTAGATATTAAAGTCCCACTTTAAAATATCATAAATTAATGCATTATTAAAGACTATATAATGCTTCAGATCAATTATATTAAATTCAGTTATAATGAATATTTGGATAATACTTTAAAATCAGGTTCAGTTTTTAAGTTAATGCATTAGGTTAGGCATTAAAATGAACAACAGCAGATTACAGCATCTAGATTTATGTTAATTTATAAATACACTATTCATTAATTCATATTTGTAATACATGAACAATTGTTAATGTATACAATTTCAAAAGGTAAAAATATATCTGTAGAAATTACTATTAACTAAGATAAATAAATGCTACTAGATAAATAAATTGTTCATTGTTAATTCATTATAACATGTAATGCATTACTTAATATTAATACATTTAACATTACTATAAAATGTTACTAGTATATCTGAAAATATGAAAAGAAATCAATTTTTTATATTATATTTATATATAATAACTATATTTATTCTTATATATATATATATATATAATGTATATATAAAGCCGTATATAATGCTAATTATACTTATTACATAATTATAATTAATATATTACTGAAATTTATTATAATGTGACCAGGGTTTTAAGTCATAAAGATTCATTGCACTTAAGCGTTTCTCCACCGTCTCACTCAACAGGTGAGAGTTCATCACTTAGCACCACAAACAAGCTATTAATGTCATCACATTTCCTCAAGAGGCACTAAAACATCCCTCACCTGGCTCAGCAAAGGTGATGATCTCAAAGGGCTGCTCCTCAGGTTGCTCTCGGTGTTCCCCCAGCCCCCCTCCGTCTTCCTCCATCTCCACTGTGCCGTCCTCACCCACCCGTCCCACATGCAACTTGCGGAGGGCGTTGAGCAGGGCGGCGCGGGGCACCGGGTGTGTGACATTGGGCCGAGTGTTCAGATGCAGCATGTTGAGGATGTGCCTCTTGACCGCCTCCACCATGTCGGTCTGCTCCTCTGAGTCCTTCTGCTTCTGGGCTAGAGCGCATGACGGGCAGGGGGTTACGGGATCATCCGGCCGCCCTGCACCTTGAGAGCCACTCTCGGCCGGCGTGGGCGAGCAGCCCCCTGACAAACAGCCGGAGAGCAGCAGCACCCCTGTCACAAGCATGAGCGAGGACATCCTGAGTGACGGCAGACTCACACCTCGGTCCTGTTCTGCTCTGCTGCCAAGATCACAGTCGCCGCACTGGCTTGTTTGTCAAATCGATGCGGAAAGCGGGAGCCAGTCCAAAATAATCCTTATCTGAACGGAACGGTCATGGATAAAAGTTGGAGAGGGCTGAACGAAGCACCGCTGGTCTTCTCGGTGAGCTCCTCCTGCAGGTGGATGAGCTTCGGGTCGCTGTCTGTGCAGCAGAGCTCTGGAGAAACCTGACGGTGCACGGCTGCCCGTGTCGGAGTTGAATGGTTGAGTGGAAAGTGGGCAGGGTTAGACAGTTAGACACATTCTTCCCTCTCTGGCTTCTCACTGTTTGTCCCCTCTCTCTTTCTCTGTCTGTAATTATACCTTCCTCCTCTTCATCCCTCCCTCTCACTTTATTACAATCTTTCTCACTACTGACTCACTGAATTTCATCTCCCTCCCTCTCTCTCTCTCTCGCTCTCTTCAGTGACTCCTCCAATAACGTGTACCATTTTTTTCCTCCAGAGAATCTAAGTTGCTCTTACGCACTTACCCTCTCTCTCTCTTTTTTTTTTCCACCGATCATTCATCTCTCCAGCCATCAATCCGTCGGCACCTGTTGTGCAGTCTGGCTAACTGTGTAGTGGAATAATCTCCTGGGGAGGGAAAAGTTGAGGGGTCAACATGATTATCATGGCTATCTGTGTGCATAACACACGTGTAAATACACCGAGTCACTCATTCATGCTCAGTTAGGCGCACACAGCATTCAGACACGATTTTTGTAGAAAAAGACATGGGAGGGAAGTGAGGCACTTCCTCTAGATGAAATGAGCATTAAAAAAAGACATTCAAAAAAGATATTCAATCATTCAGTTAGGACATTTATAAGAGGGATTCGCCTATTTCAGTCTCGTAAAAATACATTTCTGCCTATTTAAATGAACCTAAAATGTTACATTAATCACATTTTATTAAATATAATTTTTGCATTTCATGTCTGTTTCTTTAATATTTACATCATAGTGATGCATGGCAGTGACATCACTCGACTCCCTCTTGTGGTTATAATACGTACATTCTCATCATTTAAAATGATTTCAAGCAATTATCCCAGGAACAGTAAATTAGGTGGATTTAAAAAATAGAACAATTAAGAGAAATAAAACCCCAGAAGGTGATTCAGCCGAGCGCAGGAATGTTCATGACTGCAGAACAGACATGCCGCAGCATTTCTCCAGATGTTTGTGGAGTTCAGACCTCGCGCCTCCAGAGACCAATGAGGACTGTTAGTCGGCCACAATGCGTGTATGTCAGACAGATGCATGCTGCTCCATACTGTACATGTGTCTGTGTGAGCTAGAGCACATCTCACCTTTCATTCCTTGGCTCCTGTGAACAAGCATTACTCACAGGCTAACTCTTTCCCTCCTGAACTTTTAAAAAGTTTTAAAAACAACTCAAGTCATGATAGCTATAGATCAAAGTCAAGGCTGAGCAAATTTTTACATTTTAATGGTTGATATAGTAACATTATTAACCACTCACATATAAACCATTCATAAGTTTGTGGTCTGTAAAATTGTAAAAAAAAAAAAAAAAAAGATTTTTAAAAGAAGTCTCTTATGTTCACCACGGCTGCATTTATTTGACAAAACAATACAGAAAAAACAGTAACATTGTGAAATATTGTTAAAATTTAACTGTTTTCTATTTTAATATTTTAAAATGTAATTGTTTTTGTGATGGCAAAGCTGAATTTTCAGCAGCCATTACTCAGTATCACGTGATCCTTCAGAAATCATTCTGTCATTGTCTAATAAACCTGACATTGTGTACTACTAATATTATTGGCTTTTACAAATCGTTTTGTTCCTCTTTTTGAAAGTCGTTTTGGATAAAAGCATCTGCTGAATGCATAAATGTAATGTAATATGTTGATTTGGTGCTCATGAAACATTTCTTATCTATGTTGAAAACAGTTTGTTGAACAGAAAGTTCAAAAGAGAAGTATCTATTTCAAATTATATCATAAATATCTTTACTGTCACTTTTGACTCCAAACTTTTGAACGGTAGCATATATGTTTAAACTAAGATCTGGAATATTTTTCTCATCTTTAAACCTGCATGTTGTGGCTAATGAGCCAAGATGTATTGTTTTGATTTAAAAGTCATTGTGTAAAATATTTATATATATATTTTTTTTTAAATCATTATAAAATCACAAACCTAAAAAGCTAAAAAAGAAAACTCATCATTCACGCACCATGTTGTGGCTAATGAGCCAAGATGTATTGTTTTGATTTAAAAGTCATTGTGTAAAATATTTATATATATATTTTTTTTTAAATCATTATAAAATCACAAACCTAAAAAGCTAAAAAAGAAAACTCATCATTCACTCACCCCCTCATGTTGTTCTAAACCTGTATGACTTACTTTCTTCTGTCAAACATACAGTGGGTACGGTATTTTGAAAAAATTATTTTTTCATACAGTGAAAGTCAGTGGGGTCCCGATTGTCATTTTTGAATGTGAATGTGCTTTTTAAAATGTAATTCATTGTATAATCAAATGCAAAAGCATAAAAACTCACCAAGATTCTTGCTGATGTCTCGTGGGCTCATCATACGGGCAGCCCTTCATCCACCCACTGGCATCACTGCATCTATTCCTGGACTTGTTAACACTTAGAAAGGAACACAACACTCCAATGGATCGTTCTCAACTCTTAAACACTTATTCTTAGCATTGCCACATGTTCGCCTGGGCAGCGTGTGTAAGCGTGTGGTGAGTTTGCTATTTCTGAAAGGTGCCCATAAGGTGGTGTCATCACACATCCTACTGCCTGCCACGCCTCCTCTCTCTATAGATGACACACAGAGGGACTCTGGGAATGAGTAAGACAGGCCTCATCATCTGTGCATTCTCACGTGTTTTTAATTTGCGTTTTTTTTTTCTTGAGAATAACTTCTACTGTCTTCAGATATCATTTTATAAATCTCATTCGCTCAATTACTTTAATCAAACCCACAAGTCTACTTAGTTTTTTCTCTCTCTCTCTCTGCGGTCAAATTCCACATATGCATTGAAGAACAAAAACATGAGAACTATTCTCTGGAAGTTGTTAGAAATGGCTTGTTCCTGTAGTATTTTGTGCTTGTGTTATGTTATGGTGTCATAACTGTGAGTCTGATGATGTAAGGAGTTTTGGCAGGATAGTCCTCACCCACTACTACACTTCTGTATGAGTCAGGCCGCGCTGAGTGACGCTGTGGTACTGATGGTAGGCGGGATCCCTTGCTCTTTCTCTTCATCACTCTACCTGCTCCACCAGACGCTGATCATCGCCAATGAATCACCTGAAGTCATGTTTGCAACTTTCACTGCCAGCTGCCTCTGCATCTCCTGAAGCAATCACGTTTTTACATGTGTCCATGAGTTATTGTCTGTCAAAATGAGTAACAGCTTTCCTCAAACTTTCTGAAGTCCTTAAGCAAACTTCTGGTGATTTTATAAATTATACTGGCTAGTTGTACAACACACGTACAATACCGTTCAAAAGTTTGGGGTCAGTAAGATGATAAGATTGATTGATTGATTGATTGATTGATTGAAATGAATACTTTTATTCAGACAGGATGTATTAAATTAATCAAAAGTGGCAATAAAGACATTTATAATGTTAAAAGATTTAAAATGTTTCAAATAAATGCTGTTCATTTGAATTTTCATTTCATCAAAGAATCCTGGGGAAAAAAATGTATGTTTCCACAAAAATATTAAGCAGCACAACTGTTTTCAACATTAATAATAATTAGAAATGTTTCTTGAGCAGCATAATCAGCATATTAGAATGATATTTGAAGGATCATATGACACTAAAGACTGGAGAAATGGCTGCTGCTGATTTAGCTTTGCCATCACAGGAATAAATTACATTTTATAATATATTCAAACAGAAAACAGTTATTTTAAATTGTAATATTTCACGGTTTTTATGTTTTTACTGTATTTTTTTTTCAGTGCAGCCTTCGTGAACATAAGAGACTTTCAAAACTAGGGCTGTGTGATATTGAAGAAAAGTGCGATATGCGATAACTCATTAAATAATGCGATATTCAATATGCGATACGATAATGCTTAAAGTGCCACATGCTCAGATGAAACAGTTTTACTCAGTTCTGTGAACTTCTATAACTATCTTGTGTCATATATATATGGTTATTTGTATGTATGTATGTACCACGAGTTCCTGTAAAACCACAACAAATTCCTTGTGTTTGCGCACACTTAAGTAGTGAATAAAGCTAATTCTGATTCTAATAAGAAAGCACCCCTACAACAACTTATGAAAGTGAACGGTAGTGTTTTACTCGAGCATTACATAAAAATGTCATTTTAACATTAGTGTAATCATTTTAACATGAGTTAAGGAACTGAATAATAAAAAGGACAAATAAAACACTGCTTAGTATTTACTCTTTGAATTCAATATGCACTGATTCTTATTTAAGCTACAAAAGTTATTTAGGTAAGAGCAGTGAATGATTTTCTCTTTGTCTTTTGTTCATGGCCCCAAATATTGCAAGCTGTAGCGATATGCATATTGTGACATGTACATTTGCGATATTTCAATATATTGCACAGCCCTACTACTGACAAATGTGTTGTTATTTAAAATAGAAAGGTCAAGAGGTGAATGCTGCGCAACTGTAAATGGTCGCTTTTAAACTGAAATCCTACAAGTCAAGAACACGAGTAATTATTAGTGTGGAGAAGTGAAGAGACTCGTCTGCTCGTCTCTCGACAGTGCTGCTGTAGATGCTCCTTAAACAAGTAACTAAAAACCCATTGTTTCTTTGTGTTCTTAAGGTCTGTGCTTCAGGTAATCCTTAAAGATGGGTTTAAGCAGCCAGTTGTGAGTGTAACAATAGTCTCCATCTCAGACGACACGCCTGAGGACTGTTCATGGATCTGATTCTAATGTTTGCTTTGTATCTCTCATGTTTTGGGTTTTGAGTTTTTGTAGTTAAACTGAGATATATATATATATATATATATAGATATATATAGATATATATATATAGATAT